TTTGCATGATGTCGAGCAACTGGACCTCAGGGAAGGCGCTCATAAAGGCGCAAACGAATGCTATCCTCTGTTGGTGTTTCGGGGGACGAGAATTCACAAAAAGGGGGTTTTGAAAAAGAGAGCTGCTAGTGGCTGTCTGAGGTTGAGTTGGGGGGACTGGTGAATTGCTACTGTGCAGAGAGGAATTTGCAGGCGTGGACGGTTGGGTGTGCGAATGGGAAGGGGAGAGACGGAGAGCTGCGTTCGGATTAGGAGCACTTTTGTGGGAGTGGATGGATTCGGAGGCTAAGGATGCAGGTTTGGAGTTGGCATGGGAAGATTACCAGGCATTCTGTGCCTGGTGAGAGGGGGGGGAAGTTTTAGGGAGAGAGTCTGGTGAACAGAGAGAAGAGGCTAGAAGCAAGAAGAGAGAATGAGAACAATCAACAGTGAGAGAATGTCTTCAACAAAGACAATTTCGCGCTGCCGGAACAATGGGCCCCGGCAGTAGGGGGTGAAGGATATCAGTTGATGCCTAGGAGTAGACACCAGTCGTGAATCTTTCAAAACTTTTTTTTTTTTTTTTTTAATAAAAGGAGCTAAGTGAATGGTGGGCCCCGCTGTCAGTGGTGGACCGAAAGGAACGCTCGACCTCGACACGTGATATCGAAATGGGCGAAATCGCCTCTTGATATCACTAACTCTCCTGACTCCTGACTCCTGGAGCGGGGATGGAGGTAAATGAGGCCCGTTTTACACTACCCTCGTAGGGCCTATAACCGGGGTAACCTGACACTGGTAATGTAAAAGCAGTTGGAAAGGGGTTAAATTGGCCCAACTTTACCCTGGTGAACTTTCGACGGTAACCTACGTATTACCCAGGTAACTTGGCGACTCAAGTCGAGTGAATGCAGTTCAGAGTTAATCCGGGTAAAAGGAGTGACGGAGCGCTTCCGTGCAACGTTATGTATGAACCCAGCAAACAGTAGCGTTGTGGGAACGTTCCGCAGGAGTCAATACAATGTCATCAACGTTGAAGGTCCAAGTTAAAAATTGCGTCTTAGCATCGTTATGGCACTTTGATACCTTCTTAAATTGTGGTTTTGAATAATATTTCTGGTAACGTCATGGAGCATGCCAGTCCAATAAGGAAAATTTTTTTTTTTTTCTCGAGAAACGACCAATAACCTATCTTGTGTTTCCACCCTTGAAACACCAGATATTGGCTCATATAACGTTGAATCAACTTTGAATTAAATTATGGAACGTTATTACAACTTTTTTTTAAATTATAATATAAGGAGCTAATGGTATGGTGGGCCCCGCTGTCAGTGGTGGACCGCCACATGACTCCCGCCCACCATGGTGAGATCCTCCCAACACCAGGGCTGGCAGAGTGCAATACCCTGGAGAAGCTGTTGTGAACGCCATGGGAAGGTGACCCATGACTCAGGCGTGAGGACGAGTGTGCAGGCACGCTCGCCACCACGCCTGGATCTCTCCCGTTATTACTTTTAGCTGTTAATTCTATATTCCTTTTTTGACAGAGAGCGGCCTTTAATGAGAAGCAAAAACANGCTGGCAGAGTGCAAAACCCTGGAGAAGCTGTTGTGAACGCCATGGGAAGGTGACCCATGACTCAGGCGTGAGGACGAATGTGCTTAACGCACGCTCGCCATCACGCCTGGATCTCTCCCGTTTTTAGTTTTAGCTGTTACTTCAATTTTCCTTAATCACAAAGTGCGGCCTTTAATGAGAAGCAAAAACAAGAAGATCCTATCATTGAATTGGTTAGTAGATTTGGGGCTGATTACGTTTTAGGTCCACTTGTTTCTGAAGAAGTTTAATTTACGCCCTAGCAGTTTACGATTTTCTTTCTTTAGGTACGTTTTAACTTATTTCATGCTGAATTTACTGGATTTACATCCTGTCGGAAGTTGTTTAAAGGATAGATGCCCCATAGGAAGAATAGGTGTCTCCAGGTGCCAGCTGGCCGGAAGGGCCTTATCAGTTTCAAAACAGAACTGCTAGGGACTCTCAGGGAATATGAGTTTGATTATTTCCTGGACTCCATGATTCTGTCTCGAATATGCGGATAACAAATGATGAATTGTCCGACTTTATTGATTGCTATAATGAGACTAGGCGAGACATATAGCGAAATACTAAACATTCATGTGGAGGACGATTACAGGGAAAGAGGGAAAGGTACTACTATGTTCTGTGAGAAAAGCGAGACCTATTCCTCCATCTAGTGGCCTGAAAGATAACTTCAAGTGCGGTCGGGCACATTGGATCACCGCATCGGCCCAATATTGAATGAATATATAGCAATATCGGAATTTCATTGTTTCCCCAACATTCACCCAATATTGGCAATATTGCCCAAGATCTAGCCAACGTACCCAATGTCGGTCCAGCATTGGGCCAATATCTGGTGCTACTGGGGTTGGTAATAATGGCAAGATGTATAGACATCGTGCCCAATATTGGTCTAGCATTCAGCCAATATCTTTTGTTACAGGGGTGGTAACACTGGATACGTTCTTGGTCGTTTTTTGAAAAAAAAAAGTATTCCCAATTTGGCGATGCATGCTCCATGATACTACCATAAGTATTATTCAAAAATGCGATTTAAGAAGGTATCATAGTGCCATAACACTGCAATAATATTCACGCAAAGTTGGACTTTTACCTTCAACGTGGATGACATTGTATTGTCTCTAGGGGAACGTTCCCACAACGCTTCTATGCTTGCTGGGTACTTCCACCACCTATTCATTGCACCATTCCATAACATTTCACAATGTAGCGAAGGCCTCGTCTTACTCCGGTAATGTAATGGCATGAATCTTAGCTTCTAATTTCCGTAATAAAATCAGCGGGCTCCGCACTTAGCTTCCTTCAGACACCTTCCCCCGATCCTTCTCTCGATTCCTTCTTAGTTATGATCGCGCAATTCAGATGGCAGTTATACGAAATCCATTCCATACGAGGAAGTGATCACTGAGCACTTCCCATTAATGCGTAGTACAGTGGAAATATTCTTTCGTTTGCATTGAATACATAGCGATGGATCATGGTACAATGTAGAAGTCGCAAGTGCCATTATCAATGGCACGAACGCTACATGCCAGGCACAGCCGTAGCTGCATTCAACCGGGTGTGATGTCTCGAAATTGTCAGATCTGAATTATTCAGATCTGACAATTTCAGCTCGGCCAGTGTTGGTTTCTGTTTGGAGAACGATTTTCTGCGAAAAGCCCTTGGCTGAAACCTGCGATTCTGTGAACCCCGAGTTCTCTGTGAAACGGATCTGTCGGTGAATCGGATTTCTACGAAACGCCCAGGTTCCAATCCTACACATCTGCAGTTTAATTTGACAGACTGTAGGATTGGGTCGAGATAGGCATGCATATGCTGTCGTTAAAACACTTGACTATTGAGTAGGAGCATTTTATTTGGCATTTCTAATATATCTCCTATTCAGAGATATGACCAGTTTTGCCATCATTTATTACTTAACAGCTGTGATTCTCAATAAAACTTTGAAAAGTGAAGGGATTCATAAATTAAATAGGCTTGTGCATTGATGACATGGCCCTGTGGGAGAAAGAAAATATGCCATGTCCCTATGGTCACATTATTTTATAAGTTCATTTAGCAGCTTTCAGAGATGGCCTTCTGCTGGTGCAAGTTCATACTGGGTGGTCCACAAAGAGGTTTCTGATTTTGAATTTAAGTAATTCAAATCATGATATAGGTAGATGATGGAACATGACCTTTGTGCAAGAGTAGACATTGAGCAATTTGTCATTCAGCCTGGCAATACACTTGCTGAATGCATAGATGGTGTCCTCATCCTGTTAGAACCAGGTGCTTGGTTCCATAGCATTCTTGTCCAAATCATAGACCTTTGCAAATCTTAAACATAAAGTTGTACACCCCTATAGCTGATACACTTGAAGCCATTGAAAACATAGATTGGCATATTTGAATGTTCAATGCACATGGGCAGGCAGCACCTTCAGCATGTCATATGATTTCAATAAATTTTGATAAAGTTTGCTTTCAATTGAAAAGTAATTGCAACCTCTATTACAAAGGAGTTATTTCGATACAAAACCAGAAGCCTTTGTGTAGACCATCCAGTGCAATAGTCCATAGATCTGGCTTTATTCCATCTTTTTTTTACTTCTTCCATTTTGAGCATGAGATATTTTGCTGAAGGTCATGAATGTCCTTCCTTTCTCACCCATCTTCATTTGGCAGGATCTTCCATTGCTCAATTCTTCCCAGTTCTTCAACTCAGTAGGTGCATCTGCTGCTCAGTTGACCTGGCACTTCTATGAGAGGTTGCCAAGACCTTTTTCACAGGTCTGCAGGGGATTCAGAAAGGAAATCCACTAATGACAATTTTGCTGTGGTGGTGGCAACACCAAAAATATGAACGAATAAGTTTCAATGAAGGGATGGTTTGGTTCTGCTATTCCAGTTGTAAGACTACAATAGTCAGTATGCATCTACATTGTAGCTCTTGTATTTAACTTCTTAAAATTTGATATTAAGATTTCCAATTTCCAAGTTGATTCTAAAATTTAACTTTCATTTTCTTGGAATAAAATTTTTATATATTATTTTAACTGGATTGTATTTCTGTATCTTTTTTTTTTTAAATCAAGAGTTCCTTTATTGCTGCTTATCATTGGATTGGAATTATATCTGCAAGACCAGCAAATATGGCCAATGTTGGAATATTTTCAATAGGCCTTTTGAAAAGAGTGCAAACATAATTAAGATCAACTGAGTCTGCATGCTTATTCCTACTTTTTTCTTGTCATTTTCTAAGTATCTTTATGTATTTGCTTTCACCTTCTTTGTAGTACTGACCTGGCAACAGAGGGAGAAGTGCAGGTGATAAGAGGGAAGAAGTATTTCCTTTCCTCTCTCTTTCCTCCTGTCTCTTATTTCAACCTCTTGTATGCCATTTGGATTCCCAAGAAAGGATGTATGCTTTCCACATGCCCCCAAAGCGGTACATTGTGGCCGTGCTTGCCTTCCTTGGCTTCTGCAATGTCTACATGCTTCGTGTGAACCTGAGCATTGCCATTGTTGCCATGACCAACAATCACACCATCAGTCTCCCTGATAACTCTGTAGCCATTGTATGTCCTTCATTGCCTCTCTTGCTTCTTTCACCAGATATCACTTTAAGAAAAATATTATGATTTAAGGATTATTTAGATCTTTTGAAGAGTTTTATAGAGGGATCTTTAGTAAAATTGGCCCAAGGAGCTTTTGAAAATTATCATTATGAAGGGGGTTCAAAAAGTTCTGCAACTCAACTTATAAATTTCAAATGACTTTATTAATTAAAACAATTATATATTTAATCCTTCATAGTACTCCCCCTCAGCATCTATACATCGCTGCAGCCTCACCAGCCAATTCTGGAAAGCCCCACAGTACTCACATGCAGGGATAGATTAGAGGGCTGAATTCACTGATTGAGCTAGGTCCTGAACCCAAGTACTATATTTGTTCACTTTTGAATGAATACGAGAGGTTCTTCTAGGGCCTTATCTACATGACAAAGCCTATTCTTTCCAATGGTGGTGGTATTTCAATTGTTAACATTCTTGTTTACAAACAACATGATGATTTGCATAACTTTTTGAACCACCCTCATACTCTGCCTCATATTCAGCCCTAAAATCTATCCCTGCATGTGAGTACTGTGGGGCTCTCCAGAATTGGCTGGTGAGGCTGCAACAATGTATAGATGCTGGGGGGGAGTACTTTGAAGGATTAAATGGATTGAAAAGTTTTTGAACAGATTTAGAGTACTGTGTTGAGCCCTGATGCAATTTTCTTTGGAAATCACTTGAGGTGTTCCTGTTGTCTAAGTTGTAGCCTCTTCAGAACTAAGGACGTTTGCAACCTCTGGAAGATGAGGATAGATTGTCGCTTTCTGAAGATGTGGAAAGTTTGTAACAGCCTCATGTATACATAATAGGATGTAAAGCAAATAGCACACCTGATGCATGTGTCTGTGGTTGTATGTATCTATTTTAGGTGCAAGACTTTGATTGGGACTCAAAGATGCGAGGCATTATCCTGAGCTCGTTCTTCTATGGATACATTATGACACAGATCCCTGGGGGTTACCTATCTGCACGGCTTGGTGGACGGCTGCTTTTTGGACTAGGGATCTTCATGACAGGGCTGTTCACACTCCTTACACCCCTTGTTGCTCGGATCAGTGTCGGCCTCCTCATCACCATCCGCATCCTTGAGGGACTCTTTGAGGTCTGTGCTGCCACTACAACTGTACCATATGTCTTCCCATAGCAGTTACATGTCTTGTCCCAGAATTGAATGACTCAGAATGATGCCTAGAGAAATTTTTCCTGTCACTTCTGTCAATGCTTAAGAGAAAGTTTTGTCTTAACTTCCCATGAACATGGTAAGTGTTGGAATTCAGAATGATATGTTATAGCACACTATGATTCTGGATCATTTGATTCCCTTTGAGGATTTACTGCATGAACTGTGTATGATTCAACATCTCCATTAAGGGTATTGGAAATGGAAGGGTAACTCAGTGTTGCAATCCTGGGAAGCCTTGCTCTTCCTTGGCTGTGGTGAGGATTTTCATGAAAATGGATTGTGCAATATTTGCATCAAATGCTCTTTGTGGTCTCTTGCAATGACTGATAGGGTGTGATGGCAGAGAAATATTGTGAAAGTCTCCATGCAATGTTGTAAACCTAGGTGGCTATTTTGAATTTCCCTTAGGTTTTTCCTGCATTATTGGTTCTGTTGGGATCTGAATTAAATGATTTAAGTACAGCCTGTGCTGCATCTTGTGAAGCACTTGGGCAACCCTGCCTGCTACCCTGGTTTTCTTCAATATTCACTTGAATCTCGTATCCAAATGTATGGACATCTAGGGTTTTCAAGTTTTTTTTTTATAATGGGTATTCATGTGACTGAAAAATTATCCTGCTAATAAGTCTAGACATACCAAGTAAGCAGTTGAACTATTGCCTATGAAATCAAAAGAAACCACTCGTAACAGTGCAGCCTATGCATAGTGGACTGTCAATGGTAGCTGGTAAGTAATAAATCACTCATTTATGGAACTATAATGCCTGAAAAAACCTGTGCTTTCAATGAATGTAACTGTAAATTGGTTGGTGTTGCAAAGTATGCTTTCAGGATCCTTGTGTCTCATGGCAACAGGAGTACCCTGAAGTTGATGTACAGATTTATGGACTGGGATAAAATTCAGTTTTCTCTCCTAAAGCCCTTGAAGACAAGCCTAGGTAGAATTCATTTGACACCTTAATGACTTAACCCCTTGACCACAGGATTGACTGAGCCAGCCCAGCATCCCAATGGTATTATTCCAGCCTCAGCCAGGCGCTAAGTCCCATGATGTAAATATACATCATCCATAGGAAGGTATAGAGAAACAGGTATGAAGAACGAAAAACAGGTAATTTGGTAGGATGGATGGAATCAACAAAATTATTAAGCATAAGCGGTAGGAATGAATCCAGAGTTAGAATGCAGTCATTTATATACAAAACCCCTGATGCAGCAGCCAAACATGTTGGCCAATAAACGTGCAACACATTTGCAAGACATATGTCATGTGTCAAGTGTCAAAACGTGACACGTGACATATGTCAAGGAAGGTGAGCAAGGCTGACCATTTTGGAGCAAACAACTTTTCATTACCAAGCAAAAAACAGATTTTCATCATAGCTCTACAACTTTGAAAATTGAGATAATAAATCGCGTATATATACGTCATCCGTAGGAAAGGGGTTAATGATGAAGACATCGCCAACTTGGTTCGTGTTCCATCTATTCCTAGTTTCTCTAGTGAAGAACCTCATGCGGATTAATATGCTTTGTGCAATGAAGTTGGTGAAGGAGCTTTTGGGCAATAGAATAGACAGAAGCACAAAAAAAAAAGGAATTTTGAATTTTTGTCAGCTCCAGAAGAGGAACTCAAGGTGCTCAGCAGTAGAGAAGGGAGCATTGAGAAGGGATATGACCAAGAAAAGACATTGGAAGTATAAGGGAAAAAATAAACCAAATTGCTGCTGAGTCCTTCAAAAGAGAGCAAGAGTTGCAAAGCATTTGTTACTTGTTAGTGACAGGCATGTTACTGTTTGTCCCAACTAACTTTAAATTGTAACTATCAATTTTCTTGTATTACAGTGAAAACATAAGAAATTGATGAAGCAGTTCAAAACATTTTTACTTGAAAGATTAAGCTTTCTTCTGTCAAAAAAAAATGAATGCATGAAAATGGATCAATTCTGGAGGAAAGTAATGAATGCCAAAAATTAGCCCCAAGGAATGACTCATCTTCACATCACTGAAGGACATATTCAGGGTTGGTTCATTTATAACACATTTAGCACGTATATATATTTATATATGCCTTCAAATGTTTACAATATTCTCAACTACTGGCTAGGCTTTTTTAGGCTAATTTTTTAGACTTCTGGGCATTTATGCTAACAAGAGCAGAGCAACTAGCAGCACAATGCAGAATTGCAAGTTTTGACTGGAAATTTGTAGATTTGTACAATTGAGTTTTTCAATACTAGACCCTCAGCAAGGCAGCTTGCAGAGCTTTGCTAGTATGACTGAGTCTTGCTAAAATCAAGCGTGTCTTTCTAGTGGCATAGCATCGGGGGGCCAGGGGGGCACGTGCCCTCCCACTTTTCAAGAAAAGAAGCCAAAAAAAGTAGGAAAAGACCCATGAAATGCATGAAAACAGTATCCCAGAGTTCCTGTGCCCCCCCATGCTATGCCACTAGAAAGACACGCTTGATTTTAGCAAGCCTCAGTCATACTAGCAAAGCTCTGCAAGCTGCCTTGCTGAGGGTCTAACTGTTCAAAAACTTTTCAATCCATTTAATCCTTCAAAGTACTCCCCCCCAGCATCTATACATTGTTGCAGCCTCACCAGCCAATTCTGGAGAGCCCCACTTTTTCCATCCTCACTATGCTTATGTGTCTTTCAATATCTCACTCCAGGGTCAGTTGATTTCTTGCTGCTTTTGACAGAAGGAAGCTTAATCTTTCCACTTTTTAACTCTGAAGGACTATTTCATTTAGGTTCAGCATACTGCATGAAAAACTAACTTTTTTTTACTTTTGAAATACAATTAAGTACTCATCCATAATTCTTAGGACAAAGTAAGATGTATAGGGTCATATGAAAATTTTTAGACTCTTCACCTACAAATGGATGATGAATGAATTACCAAAGCACCAAATAATGTAACTGGGGAAGTGTTTGTGATTCAAGAGGATATGATGTGTATATGAAGTTGCACTTATGGTTGTTGGGGGGGGGGATGGTTGCAGGGGGTGACATACCCATCAATCCATGCAGTGTGGTCTCACTGGGCTCCCCCTGCCGAGCGGAGCAAGCTTGTCACCATTGCATTCTCCGGATCTTACATTGGCACTGTGATTGCCATGCCCCTCTCAGGTCTCATTGCTGATCACGCTGGCTGGCCTGTCATCTTCTACTTCTTCGGTCTGTCATATGTGAAGCAGGCTCTCTTATCTTCTGTTTTATCATCGTTCTCTGGTGACAGAGTCCCTTCAGATGGCTAAACCTTATGTTCTTCACTTGGCTAAACTGATCAGCATGATTCCAGTTCCCTTTTTGAATTTCTTCTACTATATTGCTTATTGCAGTTGATTATGGAGGAAGTCTTACTCTTTATCATGTTATGAGTGAAAGAGTTTATGGCAAGTTTTTTGTTGTAGGCATACTCAAACATTACTTTTAAATTCATAAATGAGTATATTTTTTAGCATACAGGGTGTCAAAAAACTCTTTAGCTTGAGAGTCTGCTAGTATCCTGTATACTGATAAGGTATGTGGGTGACGTTTTCAAGTTATCCTTTTTTGGGTTACAGATGCATGTTTTATTATCATTTTTTTAATGGCCACTTTGGATGGAGAGAGCAAGAAAGAAAGAGAGTATTGAATGGGATTCATGATAGTGGCCTTTATAAGGTAGAGGATGCAGGTGGCAATTTCATCAACAAAAAGTGGGTAGCAGAGAAGTTGAAGCATAACAACAGTGGGTGGCAGATGACTGGAAGAGTAGCTATGATAACATTCACAGTGAATTCAGAAAAGGAAAACCTGAAAAACACTCCAAGCAAAAATATCATGCTTTTATCTGCCAACAAGATGTGAGTTGGAATCATAATAGAATGAAGAAAGAAGTTTGGTACATGATTTACTGTCTTGCTTGTGCAGGTTTTCCCCTGGACCCCAGGTGAAAGGTTTTTTGACACCCTGTGTCTTTTCAAGAGCTTACAAGACTTATTGTTGACCATGATTGGGTGGATAGTAGCCATTGCCAGAAGCATCTTGTACACAATTCAAACCATTCTTCAAATCTCGTTGTGGCAATGCTCTTGAAGTCAAGAGGGGTGATGTCGGTGTATGTGCAGGTATTGTGGCAATTGTGTGGAGCCTGTTGTGGTGGTTGGTGGTTAGAGACAGCCCATTCACTGATCCCTCAGTGACCCCTGAGGAACTCCAGCTCTATGATGAACAGGAGCAGTATATTGAGGCAAAGGTATGGTGAATTCAGAAATGAGATCTTAAAAGCAACCTTCAATTGTCTGAGCCAAATTCATGAATAGATGCAATAATCAAATTCAGTTGAAGGTAGATCTTCAGGTAAGTTTTCATGGCCTTCCACCAAACACTGGGATAGCATGTCAGCTAATTCTAGCATACATGGATGTACAAAATTGCAACATACACCCTTAGTAATTTACTTTATTTTTGCAATGGATGGTGAGGTACATAATTTTATTACCATTAAGTTATTTAATGTCATCAGCTACTCTTTTTCTTGATAATTAGTAAGTCAGAGTAGATGCATGGAGAGCAAAACAGGTCACACTTAGTGTTCTTTTAAATGTTGTGCTCCTTGAGTTCATAACTCTATGAAGAGATGGTTAATCATACATGAACTTCATTTTGTTCTATCACATTCTATATGAGTAGGTGGAGACACCATGGAGGCAGATCCTGACATCCTTGCCTGTCTGGGCAATCATTGTGGCCCACTTCAGTGAGAACTGGGGCTTCTATACACTCCTCACCCAACTCCCTTCCTTCATGAATGGTAAAAAATCTCTTCCGCTTTCACAAGGAGGTACCTGTTTTGCTTGGAAAATCCATATTATCATAACACTTGCAGGTTAAGGGGACACCCAGGAAGAATTTTAATGCCTGTTGTATATGTATGTTTCTAAAAATGTTAAACCAATGCACAGTGGTACAAAAGTAATAAATTCTTCGACAAATGTCATATTTTGAAAATGAAGGAAGAAAAAATATTTTGTCACTAAAAGTTACAGATTGAAGTCCTTGTCCTGTATCGCTATTTCTTCAGGCCTTCCTCTGGTCCTTTGTTAGCCTTTACGTGGTGTAAAGGTCAATGATTCCAACTTTTCTTAAAATATAGATAGGGGAGGGTGGGGCACCATGGGTTGGCATGGGGCACCATGGGTCATCTCCATGATCATTGCTAAAATGAGCTTCACTTGACCCAAAGTAATCACACAAAGGAGTCTTTGCACCCCAGGAGGAGAAGCTCTTCAATACTGATGCACTCCACCAAAGTCATCTAGAAAAATTAAGAACCTTTACTCTGAAAATAATATATGATTAGTTTCACATCTGCTGGTGCTGAACCCTACAGAGTCTTCTGCTTCTATTTGTGCTTTATTAGATTGGAAAAAGACTGCAAAGGGAATCCTGATTTGTATTGCCAAGTATCAGAAAACATTTGGTGCACTGAGTTATGACCCTTTGTGCCAAAATAGAGTGACTTATTGTGTCCAAAATACAGTGACCCATCACGCCCCAACAGGAGCCAGTGAAGTGAAATCTAATTTCAACCAGAGTAAGTTGAGATTGTTGCTCATACGCTCAGGCATTGAACTACCTATCTAATTGGAATCAAATTCCAGTAAGAATCAAGACTATTCATCGAATGAAATAATTGGCAAACATCGAGACAGTACTGCCAACAAAAACAAAAAAGTGTCTTCTACAGAAAATGTCCACACAATTTGCACTTTGGGTGGGGACTACACTTTTTTCAACTACACTTTCCTGGCACCTCAACAGGAAGATATGTAGCATACAACATGAAGAGAAACAGAGCTGGGAAAGCTATAAACAGCCTGATCCATGGTACCCCATGACCCATGGTGTCCCACTCTCCCCTAGTTGATGCCAAATTGTGACAAAAATTTGTCATGTAATGCGACTGTTCTTGTGGCTGGGTTTTCATCAAGTGTGATCTGAAGGTGTACCTAAAGGTGAGTTTTGCTTATTGTATGTATAGTTTTACTCCTGATGAATATGCATAACTCATGTTATTTATTAGTTCCTGTGTAGTTGATTGGTGAACTACTGGGTAGAGCACAAGATGTTGACAGTTTTATTTGTTAACAAAATCACACATATGAAGTTAATGAAGAATTTATTGACAAAAAACAAAAAACATCATATTATGCTAATTATTTGCCAGTAACATTATGTTCAATATGACAGCCATTGTGATGGCAAACTTACTCCAACTGCTAGATGAAATTGTTCACCACTTGGGGACAGAGTTTTCGCCAATGGTTCTACACAGTTCTGAACATTTTTGTTGAACTTACATGAGATTTTGCTGTCGATTTTTGCTGCTTATCACTTTCTTGCAACTTTTGAACAACTTGGATATTCTATGGATTCATGTTCACATCTTTATTCCACATCTGGCAAATGGTTCTTCTTGAAATCTGTAATTGCTGCATTGTTTTTCGTTGATTTGCTTAGGCTGTGTGGCATAGTTGACCCTATAGGTTCTTGGTTTTCTGGTGTTCAAACTGATGGTTGGGTCAGCAATAAAGTCAGCCATGGAGTGCAGCCTGAGCAAGTCAACAAGAAAAAAGCACAGCATTTATGGATTTCAAGAAGTACTGTTTGTGGGATGTGGAATAAAGATGTAGAGATGTATCCATTGAAGATCCAAGTTGTTCAGGAGTTGCAAGAAAGTGATGAGGAGCAGTGAAAATTGTCCGCAAAGCCTCACGGAAGTTCGACAAAAATGTTCAGAACTGTGTAAAACCATTGGTCAAACTCTGTCACCGAGTGGTGAACAAGTTCTTCTAGTGGTTGGAGTAAGTTTGCTGTCACAATGGTGGTCACATTGAATGCAATTTTACTGGTAAATAATTAGCACAAAATGATGTTTTTTGTTGTTTTCAATAAATTCTTCATTAACTTCATATGTGGGATATTTTTTACTAATAAAAACCATCAGCATCTTGTTCTCCACCCTCTCTTTTCTCTTTGTGATACTGACACCAAGGGGTTAATGGTGACACCCCTTCTTAAAGCTTGTTTTTCATGCTCTGGATAGTCCTTACTTTGTTGAAGGCACATGGAAACTGCTGTGTCCCTAATGTTTCACAGGATGATCTTATCCATAGTTGATGTTTTTTCTTTGTAGATGTTTTGGGCTTCAACCTGGACCAGGCAGGATTCCTGTCAGCCTTGCCATATTTGGTGATGGCAATAGTGGTGCAGAGTGGAGGACACATTGCTGATGCCCTGCGCTCCCATGCCCACCCCAAATTCTCATTTTCAACCACAAAGGTTCGTAAGATTATGACCTGCACAGCGTTCTTGTCCCAGACTGTGTTCATGCTGCTGGCTGCATACATCATGACCCCGACAGCAGCCGTCACATTTCTCACCATCTCTGTTGGACTTGGTGGCTTTGCCTGGTCTGGCTTCAGGTTAGATGTGTTATTGCTACACATCCATTAGGCTATTTGTGATTAGTGCCTGACTCTCTGCCATTTAGGGAATTAAAAATTCATATAAGTTCTTCATGTCCATTTGTGGTATAATTGAACAGATCTGCTTTAACTTCATTGAATCAGAGATGTTGATTTCTTCTGGAGTCCCATTATTAATAGTACATATTGTCCTGTGATTGTTCTTAAGCTGAAATACAGACACATCATTAGTAAAAAGGAATAGCAATAGAGGAAGTGAAAGCAAGTAAGGAGGCAGAAATATGACTGATGTTATATGTATAGGGTGCCATGAAAACTTAGCCTCCTCAGCAATACAACTGTGTGATGATGAAGCTAAACAGACTTCATTTCTGAATTTTGTATTCAATTCTATATTTTCTTTAATTTAACTTATTTAGTTTGATTCTTTATTTATAGCCAAAATCTCAGTATAATATAAGCTTACCATTGGCCTAGATGACACCTTGAAGGTGAGAAGGGCCTTGTCATGAAAAGTGTCACATGATGAGTAATTCTGGGAATTTTTTATTTGAACATGTTCCCTTTCTACAAAAGTTTGAGAGTGTTTTGGACATTGACCAAGTGACACTTCTTCATGACCAGGTCCTTTGTTTCAAGGCCTTCACTGCTCACAGCCTCTGACAACATTGATTTTCTTCACCAATGCAGAACAACCAGGTAGTTCTCTTGGTCCCAGTGGTGGCTTGTGATATGCAGCAGCAGTAATTCATTGGTGGAGACAGGGGAGGCCAGTCTCTCTTGTCTCCACTAATGAACTGCTATTGCTGCATATCACAAGCAGCCACTGCCTGTCCCCAATGTCTGTGAAAACTTGGGTTCAGTTTTGAAAGATCAATTGGAAGATTTCAAGTTCCATGATCCTCTTGGACAGTAGTTTTCCTTTGATTGCCTTTCAGAACATGTTGTAACAGTGTGAATTTGATACTGAAATCTGCCTGAATTTGCTGTTGTCCTTTCAAGCCATCATTCAGACTAATGGTAGATACACACAGTGCTGACATGTTGCAGATATATATGTAGAATTGAACACTTTATTCAGAAATAAGGCTTATGCTGTTGTATCATTGGCCTGTTCTGCTACTGGAGGTGGGGCAATGGTTTCATGGCACCTTGTAATGATGAGAATGGGAATGTCATAAGGTGCATATTATATCATGCAGTAATTTATCAGGAATGGAAAATAAATGGGACATTTTGGGGAAGGCTGTTAGAAATATTGACATTAACATACAAATTAGCCAAGTTACACTCTAAAGTCATTCAGTTGTGGTTCTCCATCATCTTAATGAAGTCACACCATCTTGGATCGCATCATCAATGGTTCATGGAGGAGAGAAATTTTTACCTCTGAATGGTACAGCTTAATTTGGCTTCCAGAGCATTGCTGGAAATGTAATTGTACTGATTTATTAATATTATTTTGGTTGCCTTTTCGTGTGATGCAGTGTGAATCACCTGGATGTAGCCCCCCAGTTTGCAAGTATCCTGATGGGACTGAGCAACTGTTTCGCCACAGTTCCAGGAATCGTGAGCCCCACCCTCACTGGCATCATCGTCCCTGACAAGGTCTGCCTTACATATGCCCATGAGAATGGTTTGTCTCCCCATTCAAAGTGAATATATTTTATACTCAAGCGAAAATTGGTCAATAGTTCAAAATGTCTCAAAGGTTCCATTTATGGACTTTACACAGCATGGTGAGATTTTAGTCCCTCTTGTAATTTACCTAAATCATGATACAGACCACAGCTTTTGCATTGCTGTCTCATTCTCCTGTTCCTACTGCTCATATGGGAAAGTGGCTTCATGTGACAAAAGAAAATTGGAAAAAGTAGTGTTCTTAACAACAACAAAAACCACCATGGGTTTTTTTTTGGGAATTTTACCTCTTGTACTCTGAATCTATCTGTTGAACACTTTGATTTGCTCTTCTTGAGGTGTTAACTCATCCACCATAAGCATATTTTAATCTATGTAACTTTGTAATTTCCTACACCCATTCATAAATCAAAGTGCACTTGGTGCTAATTATCTGCCATGATGATGGATGGAACCAGGATGTTCTCCCATCCTGAGAGTACATCCTGGTTCCAGTAAGACTGAAGCATGCTATGATATATCTGAACCTAAAAATGATAGGAAAATCAAGAAATCTCCAGGTATGGTTATAGACTAGCTATGTTGCAGCATATCTCCCATCCATGATGTGGGATTGAATTTGTAATGCTCAACTAACTGCCTCTTGCTACACTTTACGTGCACCCACGATCCAGGATGGACCATGCTGATTCCAGTTGAAGCCAAAAATGCAATGCCTAGAGCTGTGAGCTTTTAAGATGTACAAAAATTCCCATGTTTTTGTTTAATCTTCTTAAAGGACCTTTACACATTAATTTTCCTCAATGGAGATGCTTCTGCCATCGAGTAAAAAATATTTTCATATGAAGTTTCAATTGCATTAAGGATCAAGGCTGGAGTCACAGCAGAATCACTCAAGATAATTTTAATTTCAAAACTTTTATCAGTAGACATTGACAAACAAATTTTTTGAAAACAAACTATTGATATAATTTCTCATTATAACCTTAAGGAATGTATCATTGTGCTCACATTTTGCTGCTTGAGAAAATGTAGAGAAAGTGCACCCACAAATTCTGGCAAAATTCACCATATCCAGCTGGAAGACCTATTCAATTTTAAACCAGCTTTGCCCAGTCTAGACCAGTTAATTCCAGCCTGGATTCTAGGCTAGTTTCAGCTGGAATTTTCGACTGGGAAGGTAAGCAGAATCAACTGCTACAATGCACAGCTGATACTATTCCTTTTGAGAAATTGTGGCCTTACACAAATGCAGTTCATCTGACTTTTGAATGCACCTTGATTTAGTCACTGATAAGTGGGAATAACCAATGGCCAAGTAGGCCTATGAATATAACTTCTGTGTAGTATGGAAAGGCCCAATTCTAAATTCCATGATTTTTCTTCCTTATCACTATAGTGCCCTCAAATTAGTATTATTTCACATTAAAATTCCAGAGTTGTTCAGGAAGAAATGATGGTCCTCTGTTATCCTCTTGCTTTTTCCAGCCAAGATTCCCTGCTGATTTTATCATTTTTGTGTTTCATATCTCCCTGGCATTGTGGGTCATAGAGCGCAGGGGAGTGGCAGATGGTCTTCATCATTGCAGCTGGGATCTACCTGTGTGGTGCCCTGTTCTATGGGATGTTTGCATCAGGGGAGAAGCAGAAGTGGGCTGAGCTTTACGAGGATGCTGGATTCACACTCACTCAAGGTGAACACAACCATGGATACGATGCCACTGCCACTGTCACTCCTCCACCCCTTGATTGAGCCTCCTGTTCCCATGATGGAGAAATTATTGGCTCAGTTCATAGGGTAAATTGGCCTTTCATTGGCCACATTGCTTGTTAACTAAAAATAATGATTTTCCTTTTTTTGCAAATAGAAAGTTTTTTTTTGTTAAGGTAGAGTCTACATCAACTTAGCAGTTCAGTTTCCTTAGTGTAGCATTTGAAAATTGTATTGCTCATTTTGACTGTGGATCATTTATCAATCATCACCCCACAGGCTGTCAGTATAGTAACATTGTTTGTGAAAGCCTTTGTTTCTTATGGATTGAGAGCCATTGTATCATACCCTTATTCATTTTTTAATGGATACTTGACCCACCAATTGTGGACTGGTCATCAGTAGGGTTCCACCTTGAACTGATGCCAGTATCAATGTTATCAGACTAGTTCCATATCATTTCATCAGTTACCTGCTTTTGATCTCATCCTTCAGGATTTTCTGAAACATTTCTCTGTTTTTGTAATCTCTCATATCAGGTTCTCCCAGCCTTAGTGGTCTTAATGGAAGAAAATGTGCAGAAAATGTTGTCAGTTGACTTTTATGTTAATTTCCAAATTGGCTCCCTTGCCTCAGTGTTCCATTGTTTTGTCAATTGATCTCGGGACTGACGTGATGTTTCAATTTATTGAACTATGTTTTTCTCCAAACTTCTTATTGCATTCTGGCTGAGCATGACTGTTGCATTTTGATTTAAAATAGTTGTTCTATGATGCATTGCTGCTTGTGAAACTGTCTTCATTTCACATTGGTTGATTTCATTCGAGTCAAGTAATCTGGTGAAGGCAGATGCAGTCTTTCTTGTCCCATGCTCATTGTGCTTCTCCATCTAATGTATCTATAATTTAAACTTTTTGGGGAGCATTTTGGTAATTTTTCAAGTTTTCAAATGTGATTTTTTTAGTTAATACATTTAGTTTCAATGGGAATAACTAGGAACATATTAACAGAATAAGGAAAGGATGAATTGCTTGTAACTCGTTACAAAAACTTTGCAAGATTTTGAGAATTTTTAACTATTATCTTCTTTGAATATTAAGGAAATCCTGTAGCAAATGCAGATTTTCTTGAAAATGCTCATTACTCTTTACTATTTTATCACTTTTCATTGTGGTTTCCCAGAAATAGGTAGATTTTACAGTTGAGACGTGTTTTGCACATATATGGTTGACCTCTGATGCAATTGGAAAAGTTTGTTTTATCCTCTCCCCTATGTAGATTTGGTTCTTGGTGAAAATTGCTGCTGTTGCCAGACAATAGTCAAAGTGAAGGGAAGTTATACAGAAAAACCCTTTAAATGATAATGTAGTATATTACTTTTTTTTTTAAAAAGAACTCTCTTCTTGTTATGAGCTACAGTCTTTATATCATGACTTGCAATTGTAATAGTTGTGTGTTGAAGGTAACTTCCCAATGAGGCATTTATAAGGTTAGAGTAAATCTTCCAGGTATAGCATGTGATAATCAAGGCACAACAGGGTAAACACCATGTTTCAATCAATCTCCAGTTAGCTGTTGAATCACTTCAATGCTGCATGTAATTTTTCCAATTCCTTTATAATAAAATATAAGAACAAATGTTCTTCACAGAAATTATACCACTTGGAATTTTGCAGCCTGGTGTAGATGTAATTTTCTTCATTCGCTTTGATCTCTAGTGGATTGCCTAATCTATCTTAGTTCTTTCATCTGGAGACTTTCTCTGTCATGTTGTTCAAGAGGCACAAATCTAAGGACATTCCTGCCAACTCTGTGACTGTTTACAGGGACAAACTCTCCCTTCGTTGTGATCTGAAATGTGATCTGTCAGATGAGTCAGATGATGGTAGGCAGACAGAGTAGGTTTCATGTGTTAGTACTTTACGAATCTCCGATGACTTAAATCCGAACGTTTTGGAAGAGGAAATTTGACTGACAGAATTAAAACGTTGTGGCGAAGGCGTTGGTGCAAATGAGTCGTTCGTGATTCGAGCAAGGCCAAAGGCACACTTAACAGACGGTGGTTAGGGCATGAGCAAAGGAGTCAAAATCACCCTTCCGAGACGTTCAGTATTGCACAGTACAAACTATTTACTGGCCAAATGATGTGTTGTGCTTCGTAGAATAAGAAAATTCAAGTCATAGTGATAAAGTTTCATAAGAGGGATTAGCGTAGGAGATATTTAATTGACAGAGAAATTTAGCAGATTCAACTTACGGAATAAGTTTTGTATCAGCAACATATGAAAATAACCAGGAACTAAAAATAACATTTTACCCAATGAGAGGTTTGACCCCCCTGACGTATGAGTTATCGGAGCTTCACCGTACATTCATGTCGGGAATATTGTTCTCGGTAGTTTTGTTCATTTTAAGTTAGTAGAGTTACCGCAGGTAGGTGTGCTTAGTGAAACAGATACTAGTTCTTTTGCGATCATAAAGCTGGATTTTGTGATGCGAGTTATGACCGCGTGTCTTCCTGAGTGCCAACATTGATTTATTTTCCTTTCTTCTAAAGTGGAACGTGCAGAACGCGCGTAGAAACTTGCTGTGAAAAAGTTTTTGTTTCACTCGTAATTGAGTATCTGGCCAACGAAAAAGAGAACGAACTAGGAAAGCTCGTATGTAACATTTTGGTAGATATATCCTTCATCTCCTTTTGAGAGAAAGTACTTCGAATTTCCTATGTTGTCGGTTCGAATTTGCTTCATGACGATCAGCCTGGGATATGTAGGATTGAAGAGTTTTACAAAAAATCACCACGCTTTCTTGCAAGCCATATGTAAACAATGGTTGTACTAATTCGTGCCAACGGAAGTGAAATCTCATTGCATTATTATACGTGACATATCCAATTTTGAGACTATCTGTGAATGAACGAATATTATTTATTTGTGTTTGTTCTTGGGTACTGGATATAGCTTGTGTTTATTCCGGAAAGTCTTGTGGCTTTCGATGCGACGTTTCCCTGCATACAAAAACAGAGAATCTCCAATGTATATCATATATGAGGCTTACGCATATATATTTATGGAATCGATGTCGTGGTATTTTCTGAAATATATCTCGATTTCAAGCAGCACCGGTTGTGTTTCTTGGAATGTGGCACGCTTGGTTGGTGACTCGCTGAGAAACTTGGACGCTATCACATTTGGAATAGGGACCCGTCTGGAAATGTTACCATTGGAATGCGAGGGAACGAGAGGGAGACAAAGAAAATAGATTTCTTTCAGCACTGATCCGATGGGAGAGTTGCTTAACTTCGTGGAACCATTTCGTGTTAAAGCACAGGGCCTGGACTACCCCTCTCCAACTAAGAAAACAAGTCTGCAACATTCTCACCCGATTTTCTTTCCCGAAGTTACATTAAATTTTTTTTAAGTCGTAACAAATGGAGTAAACGGATGGAATGTACGGAACCATCTCCAAATGTGAAAATGCAATCATATCCTGAAGATCACGCAGAGTTCAAAGGATAAATTTAGACCAATGTCGATGCGACGAAATCAATACTGTGCTCCATGATGAAGCAAAAAATCCTCCTCGAAGACAAAAGAAAAAATCAAGAGAGCAGGTTTTGAAAATCTTTTAATATAAACTATGTAAGAATCGTTAGGAGGAGAGGAGGGGTATACAGAAGGACGGTCGGTTCCTGGGAGAGAGGACCCAACGGGCTTGTAAGAACGTCTTTTCGTCCGCTCAACCGCCCTGGCTTATATCAGTTTCCACTTTTCAAGTCATTCTTTAGTAAATTAGTCGTGAATAGAAAATTTTCCAAAATCAAAGTCAAGTTTTCTAACATTTGTGATAGTACTATAAAAATGGTGACTGTTGTATTCGTCGTGATGGTGATGGTGGCATTCCTCCTTCCAAGAAAGCAGCCTTGAAAAGAAAGAGATATGTCTACAGATATAACATTTTGTGTAAACTGAAAGATGGAAAAAAAAAATTAGGTCAGACGGAAGATTGACGGAGATATTTCTTCTGTCGAAACTTGAAATAGGTATTTAAAAAAAAATTCCTCTCAAGACATGAGAAAATCCGACTTTGCGGTACTTGAGCTCTCTTATTCTGCTATCATAAGTCCCAAAAGTCTTATATTCCTTTTTTTCCATTTCAGACGTCAAAGCATTTTGAACTTGCTAGTCGTGAAGTTTTGAAGATGTTGGAATGATGTGAATTTCAAATGATGGACTACTTATCTGGTCAGTGAAAATTGGAAAGAACTCGGGGAAATTCTCGTACATTGTGGAATTGTAACACATCATGAATAAGATTCTAGGTTAATTCCATCATGATCTCACTGGCCTTTCAACGAGAACGTATTTGTTTCACCACATCCAGCTTCTGTTGTTCATAAACTTCTTGGCTTTCTATGGCTTGTCCCATGGAATAGACCGTTTCATCAGTGGTGGCTCGTCAGGGTAGACAGGGTAGGCAGTGCCTACCCAGTTTAAAATCAGAGTTCTCAAATTAATATTTGCTAATTAATTATTCGATTAGCACAGCTGTAAATACTTTTTTTTTTCATTGCGAGGTAAAAGCAAAACGAGATTATGCGTCCAGAGTAGGCACGACGCTGTCTGCCTGCGCTTGCTAGGCTCAAATTCCCGCGAGTCCAATGCAGGAACGAGAGGAGGGAGAAAAGGAAGAGAACCACAACACTGGAAGGAGTGAGGGTAGGCTTGCTTACGGTGCGCAGTTACTCCTTGCGCAGGAAGGAAGGTTGAGAATCGCTTGCTCACGCCCTCTGCTCAGAAGCACGTGCTTGTAGAAAATTCTGTCACATCTGATCAGACCTATTCTACAGTGTTATGCTGATTGAATAAGGAATCATCCCGAACAGGCTTCTGTCCATAGGCGGCGATTTGTTGAGAAATTTGGGGGGGCTCAGAAACAAAATTTGGGGAGGCTCAGAGGCAGTACTCCAAGTATTCCTTCCTTATTCTTCTGCCAATTTTTTTGGGGGGCTCGAGCCCCCTGAGCCCCTATGAATCGCCGCCTATGCTTCTGTCAGTCTCAATTCCCTATTCCTACCCCGCATTCGTTGCTCTCTCTGGAAGAGGCACTGTTTCCAAGAGATATGTGTTGTTAGACTGACAGTGTTTCGCATCCCTGGGGTGTCTTCCAATGATATAGTTGCATTCATTGAAGGTTTAAATCTTCATCACTTTTCCTTTTAGATACAAGTAATTTCCTTGATGGATAGTTCTGATTATGTTAGAATTGGATTTACCATTTTTTAATGCAAAAATCCTAAGCTTATGTCAAGTCTGTAGTCAGGGGGTGAGGGGATCCTCAGAAGAGACTGGAGAGCAGTGGGTGGAGGAGGGGGTTGCTGAGCGAGGTTGAGAGAGGAGCGAATGTGCCGGCTACTATCATAGGAGGACGCTCCATTGGTCAATAGGGATAGAAATGGGCATCATATGGGCAAGGCCGCCTAGAAATTTCCAAGGGCCCGGGGCAAAATTAAACCGGTGACCCCTTGAGGCCCTTTGGAGGACCCCCTTGGAACCCCTTAATACGTGGGGCCTGGGCAGATGGCCCCAATTGCCACCACCCCCTCTGGGCGGCCCTGCATATGGGTGCAAAGGAATCATTGGGGGGTGACCGCCCACTTTATTTTTTTGCACCACTGCTGCCTACCCAATTTTTTTACCCACGAGCCGCCACTGGATGTCGTTGAGTCGAGTATCGGTGATCAATAAGCCGTAGGAATACGTCCAGTGTCTGATGATATACATATAGCCATAGTTTCAATTCTCATGTTAGAATCCCTATATTTTTCAGTTACATTCTCGAACGTGATCACATTCTCGAATATGATGAGCATACCCTATCGTGAAGCCCTTGACCGATTCGTTGAGGAATAAACTGAATTCCCTGTGCCAAATGTCTGGTGAGTTCCAACGTATGGCCTTTTTTTGCTTTAGTAAGAGCCCCAAGTGGAAATTATTAATGATGCATCTTAGATTTTACCTCGACGCTGATTTTAATTCGATTTAACTTGTCAATTTTCCCAATTTCCCAATCCTTGGATTTTGACTTTTAGGATTGGTATCTGCAGCCGCAACTAATATATTGAGATGAACATCTTCGATTATTCCAATATTATCAGTTCGTATTTTGTACATTGTGGTCATCACCTCGGAGATTCTCCGACCCTGAAGAGCTTTAATAAAGTGATGGAAATCTGCCCATCAGCTCAACCCCTCAATTCTGGTCTAAATGCGTTCGCCACCCCCCTTCCCCCCCCCCTCCGCTCGAGGAGAAATTAATGCCCCCCCCCCCCCCCCCCCCCCCCCCCCCCCCCCCAGTTACCCCCCCCCCCCCCCCCCCCCTTTGGCAAAATCCTGGCTACGCTACTGATCGCAAGTGTGTGCTGGATAGCGAATGAAGGTCACAAGCTAACAACAGGTTCTCCGATGTCACGCCCATCGCTTGCATTAATTCACAGTGCATTCCTTCATAGAGGATGGAGGGTGGCACGAGGAATACTTGTGGAGTCAATTCCATATTAAGACCCGTCATTCCCTATCGAGTACGCATGCCTGATCAGGTTCCAATGACGAGATCCAACTGCTTCCTCACCTCTTTTGTTCCTCCCCCTCAAGGCAGGAATTCTTGCTTGTCATGATGCAATACCGGGAAATCCCCCAAGTTATAAAGGACGGCTCCACGTATTTCGCAATGCAGCTTTCCGGCTTCGTTCTCAAAAGGCCAACCCTTTTTATACCGATGTTGATCGCTCTTCAGATTTGTCAGAACCGTCCCATGTGATCTCACCTTCACCGTTTCCCACATCTTTCATGTCTTTTGTTTATGTGTTTCGTGTCTGTGTTTAGGTTCTTACTGCAGGGATAATGTAATCTCAACGATTAACAAGCCCTAATAAGCATGCGATGAGTGCAACCATTAACAGTGTTATCATCATCACTGAGATCATTATCTGTGCTCTCCTTTTAGGTGACAGAATGCAGTTCCCTCATCTTCTATATACTTTTTGGAGGACCATGGCCATCCTCTTGCCCCCAACCCATTCTCGGCCACGTCCCTCCGTTCCAGGTGAGAGAATCACAAATCAACCATCACGTGCATAATGCATGCCATCTAATTGTGCCCTATGACGCATAAACTTCTATCGTTCATGTATATATTGATTATGATATAACCCGAGGAATCGGTTTCGATTTTATTTGTCCGGTTTTGCTCGTGGACGGACTTAAATACATGGTAGGGTTTATTTGTCGTCTTTAACTTATTTATATCATTTATTTATTCACCCGATGTATGTATTATAACACTATTACGTGCATTAATCGACCTTAACGGAGTTTCTGCGATTTGTTTCCCTCTTGGAATGGAATGTCGGACACATTGATGGTAACTCACCACTCCACAATACGTGAATGTCATGACACCAATTATTCCATAATCCTTGCTTTCCTTATTCGATGTGTCATTTTGAAGCCTTTTCCACAAACATGACCATTTAACCTCCTCAAAAATCAAATATTAGAATATTATACATTTTGGTTGCCAACTTTGAATGTCTTGGCTCGTGCATGTAGAATTCCTATGGTGTTTTGGCGATCATAATGGGGAGATAACTTCCGTATGAAAAAAAATGGAAAGAATAAAAAGCCTTATAAAAATGTTCTTACCTGAGGTAAAATGCATAGGGCTAAACTGAGGTGAACAAAAAGGGTGAATTCCTTGGGTGGGGTTCACTCTGCTTCTTTTTTTTTATTTGCTACAATTTTAGTCGTTGCCACCCCTTCATTTACATTGCCTGTAGATGTCACGTAACGTTCGAGGACTGAGCATATGATAGATGTAACGTTAGTCCTGGGTCCTAGACTAACATGATTTGTGGTGGTTCAAGGCCTAGTTATAAACTATGACGTACATTTGGGTTTGAACACGAAACTGCGACCCAATTATATATCTATTTCTGAGCTACATACAGTACGCCTAGGCCTATCGATCCTTCGTCTCAGGTTTCTGAATGCCAGTCTTATGAGTCCATTCCGAGCAACATAAAAGTACGTTGAAATCTTAGCATAACGTTAAAAAAAAATGGTTGCCATCCTTGGAACAAAGCATTTCTCCCGGGAAGAGACTTGTCACTCTGAACGAAACTGACTCATGAGTCATACAACTACCAAGCCGTCTTGGGAATAGCGTGGTTTCAATGCGTACCGCTAGGAGGACAATGACACGGGGAAGGTAGAACTTTCACTTGGAAGTAATCTACTGTGAAACAGAGATAAAATGAGGGGCAACCTTTTGTGAAATTGACTTGGCACAAATGGTTCCCAAATTTAGAAAATAGGCGAGATACATTCAACAGTAAGGCAATAGTTAGGAAATATGATGAAATACGATGAATACATGATGAGGTGCATGAATATGCGGTATGAGTAAACCGATGCGATGCCATACGTTTATTGCTTTGGGGTCCGAACTTGCACGAAGGGGTAACCTTTTTAATGCTGCACAATCTCTCGCTCCTTCCTAAAGGAAGGTCTTCAGAATCAGAACGTGATTTTTATTATTATTGATAACTCTCTTTTCGCTATCGGATTAAAAGTTTAAAAAGTGACTATTTTGGCAGAAAACATAACAGAGAAGACGATTCTGGAGCGTCAGAGTTGTAAAATGAGAAACGGGAGACCTGGGATATGCACTCCTATTATGGACTGTCCTACCGTCATGAAGAATTACCGGATCAAGAGGCCCATCATCTGCGATTGGGGTGGGGGAAATGAAAACCCGCAGACCCATCTCGTCTGTTGTCCGACTCTCACAGGTAACTCATTCCTTCTTCGTGCATGCAGGAAAAAAATTTTCGGTCAAGAGTTGAAAGAGACTGTATCCAAATAGTTTGCTTATAAAGAAGCTCCAAAAAATATTCTGCTTCCATCAAAGAATGACACCGATGATAACGATTTACCGATTCGTAACCAGAAACGAGTTTTTATAGAAATTATCTTTTTGTAAAGGTTTACACGTTGATATTCGTATCCGTAACTGCAGATTCTTAGATATGGAATTGAGAAATCATCTAAATATATATAGAAACTGCCAAATATTTTCTGACTAAGATACTCAAATACTTAAAGCAAAATCTTGGCATGTCCATATTCAGTCAGTGAGCGTGCAAGATTACCCTGACCATATGTGCAGTTCGCTGACTTTTCGGCAGAAAGTAGGGATTCCACTCTCTTCATCACTACTCCAACATGAACTGTGCAGGAAGGAGAGTAAGAAGAGTTTGATTGGAGCAAAAAAAAAAAAAAGGTTTGGGTCTTTGCAATTCATATAACATTAAGGACACAGTCTCCTGGAGCCAATTTTCGGGGGAAAATATCTGCCTAATATAAAGAAAGATATTATCATCACTTAACTCCCTTAATGACAATTATGAAGGGTATATCTCGCGATGTCTAAACTTCAGAAGATAAACTTGGAAAACTTGGTCTTGACTCATGGCATATAAAGTTTAAGAGCCAAAGAATACTATGCCTAAGTTTTTTTTAGATTACTCCCACTTTTGGAGTACATTTGTTTGTATAACGTATGCTAATATCAAATGTTGCATTGCCCTCCTTGATTTGTGTCGGTGTCATTTTGACAATTTTGCCTCTATATACTCGTAGGTGAAACGACCCGTTTATAAAATACGCTCGAAAGAGCTTCTATCGCACAGATACAATACAAGCATTTCACATGTGTATCAGAATTTTACCTCCAATTCCACTGCATGCCAATGCAAAATATTCATTTCTTTCCTGGGAATAAAACGAAAGTCGAGAAACAGTTCCCCATTCACAACCTGTAATGAATATTTGGATATACAGTATCACGATGATCTGTTCCCTCACAGACGCGGAACGAGCAGGAGCAACTGCGGCAGCGCCGGCAACACCTCCAACTATCAGATCACCGATCGGTCAGACTGGAATGAGGAGTATGATGACGCCTTCTGTGCTGAATCTGACGCCTCCAGGATTGATTTTATGAAAGGTGATCAATTCCATCCAATGATAATCGAAATTTTTTAAGTGGTTAGTATTTGAAGAGCGGCAGAAACTCATTAGCACTAGATCCTTAGATCGAAAGAATGTCACCTTTACTTCGGAGTACATTTTGGTATTGCACCTGCCAGTCTGTTGACTAATCTGCACTGGGATTTTGGGATTCTATTGTTTTTAAATTACATGTTGTGAAAGTCTCTAATAACGCATTTATATTACTATGAAGTCTCTCTTGAATGAAACTGAGTACCAAAAAAAATTTAGCTTTTGAAACCTCTTGAAAGGACAGTGCCTAATTTTGCAAGGAATTACGGAAATGCCACAAAGGCTGCAGTAGATTGTCGCCGAGCTTGGGCATGAGGTTCGTGCAATACTTTCAAGTTGGAATAGAGTTTTAACTGGACTGTTGCTCCTTCGCAAACACTCCCACATCAGTCTCGTATTTGATCCTTGACTGAATGCAAGGAGAAACAGCCCAAATTTCATGCTTCAAACTTGCTGTGAATCTTTTGTGAAGCATATGTGTCTCACATGCGTTTCGCACTTCTCACGGAAGACTCAAACTTATTCCCAAGTCTTTTAAAAGTGGCTTTTTAAGTAAGTGATAGTGCAAAGCACTCGTACAGAGATTTGAGTTGCAGATACGAGCTAAGTTATGAATGTAGCTAACGGCGCATGAAGCGAAAACCCCATTCGCATTAGAACCTGAACATTTGCCAATGTCAGACTGACCTCCATTTCCTTTCCATTCAGGCAATTCACGACTGAAAGCATATGCGGAAAACCAAAGTGGATTCGGAAAGGGCGGAAATCGCGCCGTCAAAAGAGAGTAGTAGGAGGACGCACTTCTACACCTCATGCCTATCCCTGGACTGTACGTATGGTTTCCCCCGTATTTTCATCTCACGCTTCCTGGTTCTCTCCCGATTTCACTGCTGCTTATGATACGAGATAGTATCGAGATCGTATACATTCCAAATCCAGAGTAATCCCAATAATATCAAACGTTTTGATGATAAGTATGAGGATGACCCTCAGAAATAATGTGTTGCGGGCCATTGAGCGGAAGGCTTCAAATTCAATTTTTTTTTCCCTTGTTCCTTCACGTCAGCCATATCCGCAGGACGAGAGAATGGCCGAGCATGATGCGCTTTAAAACTTTCCCACTCTACCACACACCTCCCTTTCGATGACTTGCTTAGATATTTATGAGTATTTTTATATGCTGAGCAAGATAGCTTGCAGCGTTCCAACCGGATGATGCACACGCATTGTGATGGGAAATGTATCCTGTTGCAGGTCTTGCTGGGAGAACGAAAAACAACTAATGACTGGTTTTGTGGTGGTACCTTGATTAGCGATGACTACGTCCTCACGTCTGCTCACTGTTTTGAAGGAGACAGGTACGTGATAAGACTATTGCTCTCTCCGACTCTCTCATTTCTTCTGGAGCTATCAGATAGCTCGAATCGCCCGACGGCTAATTTACCGTTTTACGTTATCACCTGATTGAAAAAAAAAACACATACACACACTTTTTTTTCCCGTGTTTGTTTGTTGGCACGAATGCAGAAGACTGGACGTGATTCGACTGGGTGAGCACGATTTGAATTCTGACACGGAAAGTGTACCTGTAGTGGATATCAGCCCTGCCCAGGATGGAATCATAATTCATCCTGACTTCAAATCTCCTGCTCGCTATGCTGACATCGCTCTCATCCGGTGGGTTATTCGAGCGACCTCGTTTCGAGAGATTGTGTGATCAATTGTCTGAGTATATTGACCGCGCATATTGATTGAATGCAGGTTGTCGAAGCCGGTGAATTTCACTAAGGAAATCCTGCCAGCTTGTCTCCACAATTCCAAACAGCGTCTTGATCTCAGTCCCGAAACGGTGCTCACTTTCGCCGGATGGGGCACCGTTGGATACGGTATGTTCTATTTCAAAACTGAAATATTGCCCTCTTTTCATAAGTATCCCTTATAGATCAGATGGAACTCTTTGCTTCTGCTATTTTCGCATTTCAAAGGGAAATGCAATGGGTTTCTTTAATCTCAGGCAACGAGTAACGACATCGCTAATGTCTTTGTTATGGAAAACATTCAATTAGATGGAAATTTCCACCTTTTTTGTGAGTCTCCATTCTTTTGAAAAATCAAAGAGACTGTGTGTACCTCAGTACTGTTGCCCGTGAGTCTGTGATAACGCGAAGCTTCGACAACGATAGCGAGGAAACTATTTCGAACTTCATAATAATTTTTTTCCAGTCACAAAGCTAATATATATATATCTATTTGTTTTTCTTTTTTTATTCATTAGCAAAATAAAGTCGAAATTCATAAATCCTCGGAGGAGGACATGGAGCGGATTGTGGTCTCCATTCATCATTTTTATGGGTTTCCTCCATTATTTCATTTAAATCATCTGCGATGCTCTGGATGAAGCTTGTTTATGACCGGGCTTCTAACTTTTTTCAAATTTTTTTCCCCCTTTTCCTGCACAGGGCAAGAGTTGAGTCCAACATTGCAGGAGGTGAAGGTGCCGCTGGTAGACTTGCAATCCTGTAATGCAGCCTATTCCAAAATATATAGGAAAGTCGTGCAAATTCCCGATGGAATTACGGACCGGAATTACATGCTGTGCGCCGGGAAAAAGGGCAAAGACTCCTGCCAGGTTTGTGCATTCGTTGTCCTTTCTTTCACATCAATGAAAAGCTAACAGGCTAACCTGAAGAAAGTGCTCAGTGTTAGTCAGCATTTTAAAACACATTCGGGAGGAACGGATCCCTAAAAAATTTAGGAGTGGTGCGGATAAGCATAGGCCTGTCTTTCCACATTAAATACATGAGAGTGAATATTGTGTAAGCATGATCCTTGGTCGTTGAAACGGGTTGACTCTGCATTATTATTCATTTCTCACTATTCCTCTTGCTTTAAGGAAAGCCACTTATCTGAATTTAAAATATATTATACACGGATACATTATATGTTATGACAGGGTGATTCGGGAGGAGCTCTGCTGTACGAAGACCCCAAGAGCAGCCGGTTCATGGTTGTGGGGATATCTTCCTTCGGGTATGGCTGCGGGGTTGATGGAGTCCCCGGAGTCTACACTAAAGTCGCTCCATTCCAAGCATGGATTAATAGGATCGTGTTCCAAAGATGATCCGTCCAGTTCGTCTACTTCATTCCACAAATTTGATCTCATCAATGATATATTTTTGCATAATCTTTTTGCAGTTATTGAGTTTAATATCATTGGAAAGGGCACTTCTGATGTCCGAAATTATGTAATAAAAGTGTTTCTTTGTTCATGGAATTCACTATCTTTTACTGAATTAATAAATCATGAAGTCACACTATCCATTGACTGTTGATAAAAATATGTTCCCAATCCAAGGCGTAGGTGAAAGTCCTGATGCATAGAAAGGGTTGTTATTTCATTGAGCCCCCAAAGACAAGCTTACCCAAGAGAACTCACCTGAACAGTCATGACAGTGTAAATCTTATCTCACTTCAGAATTTCAAGAGATTAAAGGAAGGTGCACCTAAATCTGCTACGAAAGAGTTCCTACTTTTCCACCCTGAAGGAAATGGAAGTGTCTTTATTCCAAACATGCTTGTGCTATCCCGTTGGCAGGCTTAGGGAACACCAGGTGTGTTATCATGAGTCAATAAGGCTCCAGAGGTTCATTTCTGGATCATATCAGACCCTGTCACCTGCAGGAGACACAGAATACTTCAATGCATTCTATATGGGAGATTCTGATGGTCATACTGTGAGACCAAGCTTTTCCAAGGACATGAAGGATGATGAGGTTATTCTCCTTTGTTTAACTTTGAAGTCTTTTGCCATGTTCATCACTTGCCCCTCATAATTTGTTTTATTATTATTATTATTATTATCAATAAACTTAGACTAATTCAACGCAATATCGCTTCTAATAGTGAGTGAAAGTTACAGTTCAGACTAGTGAAGTGAAAAAAGCCTTGCGTCCCAATGCTCACCTGCTGGTTGCTCTTGTAATTTATTTCAGCCATTATACCATATACCAGATAACTGATAACTTATATTGAGCAAAAACGTGTGCGGAAACAATCTAATTTGAAATCATGTAGCGAGTTATAAAGTAATATGAAGGTAATTCAATTTTTGAGAGCCAGCTGGATGGACGGAACATAGGTTCTACTTTTTTGGGTCAAGATCTGAACATTATTCGTGTAAACTCGGGTAGAAGAGAATTTCCCAAATACGGGAAAACAACGAAACTCGAAATATTTTCCGTTCAGTGATCACATTCAGGGATTTCAGAGCCCATAATTGCCAGCCCATGGGACGACCATGTTGTTTCGCCCTTCTCAGAAACAACCTGTTTTCAAGGGCCAAGACGTGGTAGGAATAAGTGACGGAAAACGAGTGCATAGGTCCCCCCGAAATGCGACACGCCATTATCGTGCCAGTTGCAACTTGACTCGAACGGCTCCCGCACAGAGTCGAACGGATGCGCTTTGTCTTTCGAACATTCTCCCTTTTTCATTTTCACTCCGTAGTCTGTACTGCCACTTGAGGTACAGTATCGGCTTATCCACTATATTGATGGGAATCCTTCAGAGAACGAGAACTTCCTAGGATCGGCGTCGTCAATATGAGACAAAAGATGCAGCACAGGAACTAATGCATAGGATTTTGAGAGAGGATGACAGTCGTGAAATAGGGGGGGACAAACTTATTTATAATTCATTCGCCAGGCACGTTAAATAGGGAAAAGAGGAAAGCCTTTGGATCAGTCAGGGTCCCAGCAAAGGGAGTTTCTAACACCATCACCTTCGGAAAATACTATCATCTACGCCATGGAGTCTGCTAGTGAGTTAACCAAAAATAAGATAAATGAGGCATGTAAGAAAGCTGAATGAATGTTTTGCGCCCGTTTGAAGCCTAGTTTCACCATACTCCCCTACAGAAGCTTCATCTGCATCATCATATCCTTCTTCCCTTACCAGGCACCGTTCTGGGAGAAATTTTGAATTCTGATTAGCTTGCTCTTTCATTGGTATTTAGCTTCAGGGTTCTCATAAGGATGCGCCTCCAGGTGAAAAAAGTTTGGTTTAATTGTTTGAACTACAGGTATATGTATATGGGCAGCCCAGGAAATGAGAAGTACTACATGCACTTTTCAGGCACATATCTAGGTGGAAAAGGCCAAAATCATACCTCAAATCGACTGGAAATTAGCCCACTATATTTAAAACTGATACAGATTTATATTACTCATTACCTTGTTCTCTCACCTGACAGTATGGGGTAGTCCCGTCGTGAGGGATTGCAGGAAATTTAATAGATGAACAGTCAGAAGGAGCAACATGTTCTTATACCCTGGTGTACACAGACAGGATGTACTTTTCTAGCATATCCTCTTTACTTTTGGCGAGCAATGGTTTGTTTCTGCTTAAAACCCGTGATTTTCCGGTAGAGATGATTTAAAATTGTCGTTGAGGGAATAATGTATCGATGGCTAGCAGCACTGTTCCCATTGCAGCACTGTTTCTGATTTCGCTGCTTTGGCAGTTTCCATCAAAGACTGGTACATTTTCTTGCCGGCAAGTTTTTTTGGCTGATGGCTGCTTATTAATTTTCTCTTTCTTGGGGAAGGGGTGGCTCTTCCTGCAAGAGCCATTGTGACCTGAGAAATGCCTATAGCTCATAAGAGACAACGACAATGATTTTTGATAGGCCGCATCCCCATTACTACGACGGATGCAGGAATGACTCAATTCCTACTTCTGTCACTGATTTAGCTTGGGACAATTATTTTAAGACTGCGGATGTGGCTTAGTTGGATGACGTGTCGGACCCTGCAAGAGGGCGTACGGTGCATCCAATCAAAAGTCACTCTATCGGGAAAATAATAATTTATGTTCATGGAAGGACGTGTGAGAGGGAAGTGATCCCAGCAACATACTCGTGAACCATCTTTCCTTATCGTGCATACCAGTGGTTCTCTTATACTTTCGCATTATCTTGTCTCCGTAGTCGGCGGCAGCTAGCAGAAATAGGTAAACAATGGTAATGGAAGTCATTACATCGCGAGATCTCTTTTCCTTTTGCATTGAAAAAGGGGCAGTGAAGTCCGCAGCTGAGAAGCCGTATGGTGATACGTTCAATATCACTACGTACATGCATAAACCAGGAGTCGAAGGTACTATTTGAATCTCGCACCAATCGATGGATTTTCAGGTCGAACGTACGCTCAGGTTTATGTCTTACAAGATATTCAGCCCGAACTGGTGGGATATAATCCTATTATTAACATATTCCTGAAGGAACTCATAAACTAATTTGTTCATGAACACAATAAGAACGCAATTGTTCTATAAGACAATTTTAATGGAGATACCCTAGAGCTGAAACACGATTGTTTTACGTCTGATATCTGAGAACGATCAGAATTCGTGTTCGCATATCCTCTCACAATTTCAACCTTATAGGAAATGGGCACCTCGGCATCTTCGATACAACAGAGAAACTACAGTGAGATGAGTTCAATCATCGAACAAGCAGCCGATACCTTTAGCTCTAGCGTTCGAGTTACGTTGGTTTCCCCTACGCATGGGGTGAAATCTAACTGAATATGGAGATATGTGGGAACTCAAGCTACACATATAGGGGGTCCGATGCTCTATATTGAAGGTTCCACGTGAAGATGAAATCCATCTGGAATGAATCAATGATCAATTGTTGCTGATTTTTACAGAAAAAGAAAGAGAACAAACTAATCCTACAAAATTCCGTAAGAAATCCTTCCGAATAGACGAAGCCACAGCAATGCAATCCATGGAATCGCTTCAACTCTCGGATCCCTTCACTTTTTAGCTCGAATGCTCATACTCGACGCAACGTATTGCAACGCCTTAGGCATTCGGCGCCGATGGATATTTAAAAAAATCAACATTTCACTTCTTCATTCGATACCGAAAGAAATGGTGTGGGCCTGAAAATACTTTCTTCGTGAAGCTTGAACCATAAGGAAATTGCTTACATAAGAAGAAACACAAAATCGTACCTTATTCTTTTTGCTTTACTCCTATAAATTATCAACATTATTTTTCCACTTGTAATAAGCGAGTTCGAGAATAAAGGAGATGAGGGCCAGGCCGAGACCGATGAACAAGGTGAGGAACGCCCCTTGCATCATGGTCAAGATCACGGCGGATTTCGGAGGAGCATCGTCCACCAGTGAGAAATCTTTTTCGCCTAAATAGGAACGGATCATGGCGTCTTCCCACATCTTACCGAAGAGGCCAGCCTCTCTCAGTCGCAGTAATAAACGGTCGACGGCGAGTCTCAGCACGCTCCTTTCCCAGTAGGCAAAGCCAACATTCGAGCAGAGAAATCCTTCTTTAGCGATCCTGAACTTTACTCGACCGGTCAGGACCCTCCGGCTGGTGATGCCGACCAGTCGATCAATTAGAGCGAAACGATCGACTAGTAAATTATGGTTCGACTGGTGGAATCGCGTCTTCTACGTACCATGGGTCAGTTGGGACGATCCAGATCATTCGTTTCTGCAATTCTTGAAACAGAAAACTCAGAATCCTGGAGGATGTCGTCGATGCCTTCTCCTCAGAAAACTTTCCCATAGGAGATTTCGTTGGATAGAAGGTCTCTGACCGAGTCGATCGGGGTCTCGAGGGGATACAAGCTGAGGAATGAGACCAGGCTAGATATGTAGGCGGTGGTTATGACGATGGCGAACATGCTGAAGAAACTCCAGAAAACGCGGGAGCCTTGACCGTGAAGGATGGGATCATTAGTCACAGTAAATTATTAAGAAAAAACATGACAGCCTGATAGAATAGCAAAAAGGGTCACTAGACCCCACATGTGAAGCTTGAAGGGTTTAAAAACGGATGTCCATGAAGGGATCGTGCGAGTGGGTCTCATCAAAATACCCAGGCAGTCGTAGGCGATAAGAGAAATCCACGTATTTTTCCAGTTCCACTGTCTGGAGAATGCCTGACATGGCGATATAGGCGCGACCGTCCAGAACCGTGGCGATGATACCGCTCTTCCTTGTCCCGTTCAACTCTAGTCCCCATACCTGACTGGGGCTTTTCATCAATCGATACGTGAAATTGAGTTTCTCAGATACCGTGGACAGAATTCGGGTTTCGAAACCGACTCGACTAATATTCTTCAAGTACTTCAAGTACTACAAGGATATGGAATCTCCCTAGGGTGTAGTGACATTGACACGACTTTGAGAGGATTCCGAGAAACCTGCGGGTTTAGTGGAATCTTGTCTCTCCCTAGGGAGAGAT